CAATTAGTGCATTTCGTAAGTAAAATTAATATGTTTATTCATCTAATTTCGATGTATTTTTATCTATCTTACAATTTAATTTACTTAAATATATTATATTAGGTTTAATATAACAAAATAAAATAAAAAACTAAAACTAAAAATCATATAAAAAACTTTTTTGTAACGTTGCTATTACATGTAGCGTGCAGTTTCATTTCTCTTGCAGCGTTGGAGATGCTCTTAACTCTACACTTAGAATAGATCCGTACAATAATATAAACATTAATAATAAAAAATAAAGTCCAATGAAAGCAGCCCAACTCACCGATTCACTCAAACTCGACTCACCTCACCTCACCTCACCTGCATCACTATACCGCCAGCCGAACCATAGCTGGATGATGATGCTCCTCCCCTTTTCCTCTCACAAAAACAAAAGAAAAATATTAGTCCCAACAACAAATCTCATCCCCTGCAAATCACAAAATGCTTCCCTACCCATTCTTCTTCTCCTTGTTGTTTCTGCCATGTCAATCGCTTCACATTCACAGCCGTAGGATCCTCCATCAACCCTTCGTCCCCGTCGGATCCACCACCCCTCTACCTCCATCTCCTTCCCCTCCTTCCAAATACCCTTTCTATTCTTCTTCTTCCTCTTCTCCTCCTCCAGACTCTCCTTTCTTCCCTTCTTTCCCTTCCTCTCCTCCTCCTCCTCCTCCTTCCCCTTCCGCCTCTTTCCCCGCCAACAATTCCTCCCTCACACTCCCCCACGCTTCTTCTCGCAACCACACCTCTCACATCATCATCATCCTCGCCGTCGTCACCGCCTCTCTAGTTGCTGCCTTGCTCCTCTACTTCTACTACCGACACCGCCGCAAGCAGAAATGTGGCCCTGTTGATGATAACAAGACCTTGACATCTAATAACAGTAGTAGATTGTACCCCAACAATGTTCTTGCTGGTAAGCTGAGGACGACTTCCACCACCAGTTCCGAATTGCTTTACTTGGGTACGTTGGCGAATGCGCGAGGCGGAGTCGATAGTGGTGGCTCCAATAATTCGCGGGCTAATGCTAGATTTGATTCGAGAAAAATGGGTTCCCCGGAGCTCCAGCCGTTGCCGCCGTTGTCTAGACAGAGCACCTGTTGGAACTTCCGTGCCGGTGAAGTTCAGTCGGTTACTGAAGAAGACGAAGAGGAGAATTTTTATTCACCGAGAGGATCTCCCGGTTGTCGAGATAGTCCTAGTGGGAACGGATCCAGATCAAGAAGAGCATTTGCGGCAATTGCTGTGAAAAGCATTGAGTCTAGTAGTACTTCCTCGAGTTCATCTTCGAGTTCGAGTTCAAGTTCACCCGCAAGGTCTAAATCACTCAGTATATCTCCGCCGGTTAGTGCGAGTCCAGTAAGATCCAATCCGAAATCTCCTGAACTCGTTCACGTTCAACCTTCTTTAGCTCCGGCGAGGATTTCAGCTGATTCGCCACGAGTTTCCAATGCTTCAAATGGAAATGTACGATCTCCTTCGCTGTCTTTAACTTCAACGTCACTGAACATGGAAGAGTCAAATAATCGAAACATCCAATCTCCCTCGTTGTCTCCGATGTTCATCCAAAACCCAGATTCATATATTGTCCCCGATCGGAACACTGGGTCACCTTCGCTGTCTTCGCCTACTACTACTCCAAATAGAGCGTTGATAGAGAAACTAGATGCATCGATTAGAAATTTCAAGCATTTGGTTCGAAACATGGGGAGCTCATTAGTTTCAGCTTCAGCTGCTAGTAGTTCACCGGTCAAAGAATCTCCGGTTAATGATCTGGGTCGAAACCAAACCCGGTCGCCATCAGTTGGTTCGGCTTCTACTTCAACTGAGAGAATGGTTAACGATTTGAATCCGATTGTTCGGTCTCCTTCACTGTCACCAGCCTCTACATCACCCAAAAGAGCGTTGGATGAGAATGAGCGGTCTCCTCTACTATCATCGGCTTCATCATCATCTGACGAAGTTTTTGAGAAAAGCTCAGAGAAGTCGCCATTGGTGGTTGCTTTTTGGGATTACAATAGGTGTTCTTCGTTCTCATCTTCAGTTTCTTCATCACGAGGAAGAGATCTGGAGAACAGTCCTGATGCATCTCCTGTAAGAGTTACCGGAGCTTTGGAGAAGCCTATGTTGACTCCACCGCCGCCACCTCCTCCTCCTCCAAAGCAACGACGGCTCTGGGAGAAACCACTTTCATCTGTATCTTCTGCTAAACAGATATCGAGACCGCCTCCTCTTACACCTCCTTCGATGCCGTTTATGATGCAAAACCCAATTAGTATTCCTCAAGACGAGTTGCCTGCGAGGTGCGAATCCGAGGCAGTGGAGGATGGGGAGGCGGAGGAAGCTTCAAAACCCAAGTTAAAGCCTTTACACTGGGATAAAGTGCGAGCCAGCTCCGATCGCGAAATGGTGTGGGATCACCTCAGATCAAGCTCATTTAAGTATGATTTCAACCTCTAAATATATGTGTACTTTGGAGATCTTATTTAGTTCTTTTAGATCAAATTGAGTTAAGCTTTTTGGTGTGATTGGACTTCTTTCTTGAATAATTTCTAAGAGATTGGCTTCTGCAGGTTGAATGAGGAGATGATTGAAACACTGTTTGTCGCAAAGACACCGAATTTGAAACCAAACCAAGCAACTCCACGTCCTGTTCTTCCATCACCAAACCAAGATAACAGAGTGCTGGATCCCAAAAAGGCGCAAAACATAGCAATTTTGTTAAGGGCACTCAATGTGACAGTCGAGGAAGTCTGTGAAGCCCTGATAGAAGGTAATAAAATTGTTGCAATTATGGTTCAAGTTTTGTCGATCTTAAAGACTTAAAATGTCCATAATTTGCACAAAGGTCACTAAGCTGCTGGATATGGTGATGATCATATTTATTTGTACTTATGTTCCTTGAGCTTTACTTAATGAACGTTTTCTGCTGAAGTTGTCATTGAATTTAGTGGTTTTGTTCCTGGAATTTTTCTTGCCTATAAATGATATCAATTGAGCTTTGATATCCTTGCCATGATCAGTCATATGGTTTCCTATCTTTGGAGTTTTCATGTATGGGAACTAAAATACACATCTACGACGATACAGGTAATGCAGACACACTTGGAACTGAACTTCTTGAAAGTTTATTGAAAATGGCTCCAACAAAGGAAGAAGAACGTAAATTGAAGAAGTACAAAGATGATTCACCAGTCAAACTTGGTCCTGCCGAGAAATTTTTAAAAACAGTTCTTGATATACCGTTTGCGTTTAAAAGGGTGGATGCAATGCTCTACATAGCTAACTTCGAGACTGAAGTTGAATACCTTAAAAAGTCTTTTGAAACTCTAGAGGTAATTTAACACGACGTGCTTTCGCATTTCCCTGCTTTCTTTCTCCTGCTTATTTTCTTTCTGCTTTTGTTGGCTGCTTGTTTCTTCCTGGATTAAAATGTGAATGTGAATACTCATTCAACTGACATATCCTTCATTGTGGTATAGAAATTTTCTGCACCTAACATTACTGCTATCCTTTTGACTATTCACAATCTTTTATCACAGATTTCTCTTTAAAGTAAAGTGTGAAAGACCAATATGTTGATTATAGTAACCATTTCAATAGTGAGAATAGATATAGCGTGTGTGTTCTCACCTGGCATGCGAGCACCATTGAATATTGGCAATATGAACAAACTGTTTGCATGCTCTTTTGCCTTATATGGGTGCTAGGATCTTTTTTTTTTCTTCTTAATCTTTCATTTCATAGACTTAATGCCAGACTAACAAAACTTGTTACTTCATCATCGATTATCTTAAGCTGTATCTCAATGGTTTTTCCTTTTCACAGGCTGCTTGTGAGGAATTGAGAACCAGTAGGATGTTTTTCAAACTTCTAGAGGCTGTGCTCAAGACTGGAAACCGCATGAACGTTGGGACAAACCGTGGTGATGCTCATGCCTTTAAACTTGATACACTCCTTAAGCTTGTTGATGTCAAGGGTGCAGATGGGACGACCACACTCTTGCATTTCGTTGTACAAGAAATCATAAGAACCGAGGGTGCTCGTCTTTCAAATGCTAATGACCAAACAGAAAACTCCACTTCAAATGAAGATGCTCAGTGTCGGAAGCTCGGTTTACAAGTTGTTTCTAGTCTCAGTTCAGAGCTCACCAATGTGAAGAAAGCTGCTGCAATGGATTCCGATGTACTTAACAGTGATGTCTTGAAGCTTTCTAGAGGCATCGAAAACATCAGTGACGTTCTAACATTAAATGAAACAATGGGGTCAGGCGAGAGCAAAGAGAGATTTTCAGAATCGATGAACAGGTTTATGAAAATGGCAGAGGAAGATATTATAAGGGTTCGAGCCCATGAAAGTGTAGCACTATCGCTGGTAAAGGAGATCACTGAATACTTCCATGGGAACTCTACAAAGGAAGAAGCCCACCCATTTAGGATCTTTATGGTGGTGAGGGATTTCCTTACGATTCTCGAACGAGTCTGCAAGGAAGTCGGGATGATAAATGAACGAACCATTGTTAGTTCTGTCCATAAATTCCCAGTTCCAGTGAATCCAATGATGCAACCAGTGTTTCCGGTTCCGGTGAATCCGATGATGTCCCAAGCTTTTCGTCAGAGGAGATCGCAGTATGGTTCTGGTTCCGATGATGAGACTGCATCACCTTAGTTGTTTGCTGAAGCTGTAAAATAGAAGCTGCCAAAACTGGGTGGTTTGGGTTTTGATTGAAGCTTGTATGGCCTGGTCTGCAATGCACGGTCGCTGTAATTTACTTATTTGTATTCTTATTTTTATATCTGTATAAATCCATGTACAAATAATTTTGGAACAGTTTTGTTCATATATATGATATAATAGTAGAGGAATTTTCTTGGGAAAACAATGAGGTAGTCTTTGATGTCTTGTAAGTAAAGCTATGTATTAAACTCTGAACTGAAGTTCACCTCAATAGGCATCATAATTGAGAACTTTGGTAATGATTCTTCAAGGAGAATTCTTACATTCATCAGATTCATGCCTGTAAATTTATAGCAGGCCACAATAATTTGTTTCAAATATTATTTTCACATTACTAATACCATAATATTGCTTATATTAGTAAGTGGTGTTGATCGCTTTTGCTTCACTGGTTTTATTGTCTCAGCATGTCAGCATCCATGCTTTCTAGAATACGACGTGCTTCTTCCTCCGTTGCAGGAACTACTTTTCGAATCTTAAATCCGTTCTTCTCGGCCTTTGCCTCCGGCCGGACAGTGAATGAGAAATGAAATGTATTTGATACCTGCATGGATACGTTTACAGAAAGAGATAACATGTATGAAAGTAGTGAACACAGAATCAAGCATGTAGAAGCCTTTTGTTCTATAATAGTGCATTTGAAGGATTTTACCTCACTAGATCTAATCTCAGGCCTCGTAACATGAGCAACAACTTCGACGTTAATTAAAGGTTGATCTGGATTCTCGAGTTCAGTGTACAGAACACAGGATGTCAATCGAAGGAAGTTGCCTACATCAACCTGCTCGAAACACAAGTATTCTTTGCTTAAGTTATAAAAGTTCCGCGAAATATGAACGGATAGCAATCCCATACCTTTCATGTATAGTTGACAGTTAATGAACTAAAGATAGACGTAATATGAAGCACAAATGCAAATCAAAGTGTTATGACCCTCAAGAAATAGAGAAGAAAAATAGACGAAGAAGAGAAGAAAAAATTCATTCTTTTCACACATGAAAACTATATTCTGCAGTACATGGTTATTTAATCACAATACACTAGGTTTCCTCCTATTTTGACTTGGGCTTATCCTAAGGCCCTTGTTTCCCTTCCTTTTCTTCATGTTAATTTTCCCATGTGAGTTACATACTCCCCTTTTAATTCCTCTTCATCAAAATTCCCCAATTAACTACGTGCAATCCCTAGCTCAATCCCTAATTCATTTTCTGAATCCCCAATGCCCTTCACTTTGTGTTTCTCCTCCTCTCTCCCAGCCGTGACACAAAGATGCTGGAAACACACTTAATATTGAATATGAAAGTTCATTCTCGCCTTCCATTTCATGAGGATATGGTTGAAATAAAGTTTGAAGGCCAAAAAAATGGGGATGAAAAGATTGTTGCAACCTGAAACGATATCAAATAACACCTAGCATGGAAGGCAAAGAAGAAGAAGAAAACAGTCGCGACTGTTGTCTTGCATAGACGTGTTTAGCAGTTCAGCCCTTCCATAACTGGTTCAGGATCTCGATCTCTCTCTATCCGAGACAAATTTAAGTTAATGCTAAAAGCTCCCTAGAAAGCAGAAAGGTACTTACAGGCCTTAAGAAATCAACATGATCAACTTCTAAAAAGTAAGGCACCAATCCGGCAAAGGCATAAGCTGTTGAGAAAGCTAACTCAAAGGCCCGATGCATTAAGAAACCTCCGAAAATTCGACCATGGATGTTCCTCTGCTGTGGTTGGCAGATCAAAGCATTTTCAAGACGGGTATCCTTTAAAAGAATGCTGTCTCTATCTGCTAATGCAGGCATATCACAGAAGATTCGGCCCTCAGCCAAAAACACTTCCAGTCTCTTTATCTCCTCATTGCCAAATTCTCTTCTACCTACTCTTTTCTTTTTTCTCAATTTGCTTCTAGCTTCAGCTTCTTCGAAAAGAAGCTTCTCGTGTTCGGTTTCTGGTGAAAGCCGGTTAACAGCAGCAGCTTTCCCGGTCTCAGAGTCACGGGCCACGAAGATGAAGTTAGCTGTTAGAGCTACTGAATCTGAACCATCTGGGTTTTCTGCATGAAATAACCTTATCCGATCAAAGTCTAAATCAACGTGGCCAAACTTCAATCTGATATATCCATAAATGAGAAATAGAAGCGACATGTTTGTAAGTGTTGGAACTTTAGTGCCGTTACCAACACTATCAAACATTGTCAGTTCAAAGTAGTATCTGAGTATAGGCAAAGTATCATTCAAGTAGGAAAAAAAACCAACATCACAAGAGAAGATAGATGATAATTCAGTGTTCGAATACTCGAAATTGTGTAAAACAAGAAAGAACAACATGCTTCTCCTAATTGTGCAGTATATAAATGAACCAGAAATAAAAATGGAATCCATAAAAATCAATAGCAAAAGATTAATGAAGCGAACAAGGCAAATCTCAGATTTCAGAAAGCACTATTTTTGGATTGAATGACTTCTAGTTGAATCTCAATCGATGATGTCCCAACCCATATAACAGAACCAACAATTTTCAGATCAATATCAACACTAATAGCCTTCTTCAAAACAATCTTGTCAACAGCAGCTGTTACGAGCAAGAGAGGCCTTGTTGTGCTATCATCATCCGAACAATGCTAATTTCACAAAAAAAAAAAACACACGAACTTTAACCATCCAAAAAAGCGTCTAAACCCAGATTTTCCAATGTAAAAAAAATTGTTAAATGAAACCTTGACAGAGATAGCCCCAGCTAAAGCATCAAGGTCTTCAAGCAATTTCCCGATTCTAACTTCATTCCAGGGATCCCTATACTGTTCCCTCAAGATATAATCAGATGACAAGTTATAGAAGATGCTGGTCCTGCTTTGAGAGGGAGTTCTTGTGAGTAATTCGCTCTGTGGGGGCGCATCTTTTGGTGGGTCAAGGAGTCGCTCGAATATATTGGACCTTGCTTCCCATAAAGCATTAGTCACCGGTGAATGGTACATTCCGGGCCATAGGCTTATGGGCTTCTTGTTCCTGGTCGATGTGGAATCTGGAGGAGAACTGTCTATGGGAGAGGAAAAAGTAGAGAACACTAGGATAGTTTTAGGAGATGCGCAATTGAAATCCATGGGGCAAATTGGGATGTTTTTTCAGGTGATTCCTGCGCAAGGGTTGCTGACAATTTTGATGGTTTGAAGGAATTCCGATTTCAATTTCAGGGTTGTTGTTCTTTTAGAGTTACTTACCTAACATGCCCTCTAACTATGATCCTCATTTTATATTAGTCTCCGAAGTTTTAAACATTTCAATTATATTCCTAAATTATGATTTTTTTAGAAGGCAAAGCCCTTTACATTAAGTAATGCGGTTCCTCACATGAGGGGGCCGTCTCTAGAAAGGATGTCAAAAAGCAAAGAGGGAATATCTTGGAGAACTCTTTGAGAGCCATCAATGTTGGTGCGAAGTTTGGCGAGGAAATCAGCAGTAAAATTGGCTTCGCGTTTAACAAGGACAAGGTCGATCACCCAAGGTGTTGAACAAAGGCCATCAATGGTGCGAACAAGAGCTAAGGGGCTGGATGAAGCGTCTAGAGAGGTAAGGAACTTGTGTGCTTCAGTGTTTTCAGTTCGACATTGGATTTTTTCAAGCCATACAACCAGGCGAGGGCGATGGCGAGAGCAAGGTCATCATGAATGGCCCAAAGCTCGGTTTCCAGGATGGTAGAAGGACCGACAAGTTCATTAAAACCAACAAGCAACTAACCTTTGTGGCAGCGGATGAGACCATCGATCATTTTCACAGTGGTCAAGCAGTTGAAGGTGCCACCAGTGTTAAGGGTCACCCAACTCTCTTCAGCGGCTTTCCATTGGATGATTTCAAGATCTAAGTGAACAGGAGAAGCAGTTGGGGGAGAGCTCGAGCTATAATGCTACGCCCAAGATAAGCCGAGAGAGTAGGGTTCAACATTAGACATGCCTTCAACGGAGATGTGACGAAGTTGCGTCGCTTCCATACCTTCCAAAGAAGAGAGGAGAGCACAATTTTCCAAGGGATAACAATACAAATGAAGAGATTATTAGTAGAGAGGTTCCGAATTAACCAGTCTCCAGCAGTAGGTCGAAGAAGTCAGGTAGGTGTTGGATTTGGCCGAGCACTAACTAAAGATCCCTGGTCGAAGGATGTGGATTACTGATTCAGTCTCGATGTTACAAATGTTGCAGATAGGACTATCGGAGAGGTTCCTGCGCCAACGATTGAGGTTGGGGAGAAGTTTCTTGCGCATGGAAACCCAAATGAAGTGACAAATAAGTTCAGGGACATGTGCATGCCAGATGGATTGTCTTTCGGTTCCCAAGCGTTGTTGGCAAGCTGGAAGTAGGCGGATTTGATCGAGATTTTGCCATGTTTACCGTGGTGCCAATTGCAGTGGGAGAGAGCACAGGGATGTTGAAGAAATTATAGGATTGAGGTTGGCAAAAGGGTATTAAGAAGGCTCCAGTTCCAGGTTCCATTGGGGAAGGCAACGTCCATGGCAAGGAGGTTATCGTTAATGGCAATATTGTCGGCTTGGTGATCGATCAGAGGACCAAGATGAGCGTTAACCTTAGAAACAGTGGTGGATGCACTAAGCCCCCTATGGGGCCAAGTGTATCTCATTATTTTGGAAAAGAGGTTAAACTTAGCTTAAAGTATTAAGGAACAAAATTATAGTTTTTACATATCCATTATTTTTTTAAAAATAAAATTAAAATTTTGAACTCCATTCTTAAATTTATAGATCCGCCACTGCTTCGGAATCGCATCTTTATCAATATGTGACGAGAAGTAAACTTGAGATCTTTGTTTAGTTTATGGCCGGAGATGCTGTCAAATTCACAAAGGATATGGCTTATAAAATGAGCTTGGTCAACTGTTGCCAAATTATGATTGTTAATTTGTTAATTGATTTTAAAATATTATATAAGAAATATAAGTTTCATAATTAATAAAATATAATTTAAAATTTAAGATGACTACTAAATGTAAATTCAAAAGGTAACTATTGATTAATTGAATTCTTAACTAAATCTAAATCAAAATATAATAATTAATTAGAAATTTACTTGAATGTTTTAAAGGGGAGATATAAATTTAAATTTTGAAGACGATGTTATTAATAAAAATAATTATAATTTTTAAATGTAAATTATAAAATGAATATAAATAAAAAAATTAAGATTTTTGAAGAGAAAAACCCAGCATATGCGGGTCGATTAATACTAGTTGGTGGTCAAATAAATACGCAACTCACATGTAACACCAGCTTGCATTTTTATATAAAAAGGCTTAAACTAAAAATATATATATTTAAAAATATATTGTTTTTATTTTAGTTACTTAAATTATTTTTTTAAATTAGATATTTAAAATAGGGAAAATAATTTCAGTGACAAAAAATGCCTTATAATATACGATTTTAATCAACTTTTTTTGGATTTGCGAAAATAACCAACAAATTCGCAATGCGATCTCAAATTCGCAACGCGAACTCTGATTTCGCAACACAGTTTCCAAATTTGCAACGCGATTCTCCAAATTCGCAACACAATTTTCAAATTCGCAACGCGAATTTCGTTTTCGCAACGCTAATTACCGATATACGTAAACACAACTATTCGACACTCAGTTTTCAAATTCGCAACACGATTCTCCAAATTCGTAACGCGAATTTCGTTTTCTCAACGTGAAATTTTGCAATGCTAATTACAGATATAGGTAAATACAACTATTAGTAACTCATTTTTCAAATTCGCAACGCGAATTAGAATTAGCCAGTTTTACAACTAAATTACCGATATAGATAAACTCGGTGGAAAAAAATCTGAATTCGACAATTTGAAAACTGAGTTGCGAATTTAGCAAATTCATGTTGCGAAATGGAAAATCTCACCTCTTAAAAAAAATCGTGAGTAAATAATAATTTGATCTTTGTCAATTTTAAAAGTGAGTAACTAATCACAATTAGTTCAATATGATTAGAAGATTTTTTTAGTTCAATATGGTGGTCACACGTAGAATTTGGATTAGTAAAAAATATCGTTGCGAATTTTAAAACTGAGTTGCGAATAGTTGTGTTTACCTATATGGAAAATTCGCGTTGCGAAAACGAAATTCGTGTTGTGAATTTGAAATCTGAGTTACGAATTTGAAAACTGAGTTGCGAATAGTTGTGTTTACCTATATCGGTAATTAGCGTTGCGAATTTGAAAACTGAGTTGCGAATAGTTGAGTTTACCTATATCGGTAATTAGTGTTGCGAATTTGGAGAATCGAGTTGCGAATTTGAAAACTGTGTTACGAAATTGGAGTTCGCGTTGTGAATTTGTTGGTTATTTTCGCAAATCCAAAAAAAATTGGTTAAAATTGTATATTATAAGGTATTTTTTGTCACTGAAGTTATTTTCTCTTTAAAATATTATATGTAACCATTTTAAGTATTTAATTATTTTTAGTCAAAATAAGTCCTTAAATATTTCGTTTTTTTTAAGTCCTAAAATAATTTTTGATCAAAATAAGTACTTAATTTTATCAAAATCATATCGGTTGAAAAATAATTTTCTAACTAAAAAGATATTATGAATTAAAATAATTAAATATAATAATTTAAATACTTAATTTGATCAAAAAAAATAATTTAATTGCCTAAAGTAAAAAAAATAGTTTAAGTATATATTTTTACTTTAAGCCATATAAAAGTAAGGCTTACTTAACGAATGACAATTGCTTAAAACTCTTAGGTGGCGTTTGGTTCGTTGGAATTCTTTGGAATTAGGGGAATTGGAATTCAATTCTACCACTTTCCCATGTTTGGTTCAAGTTTTCAAATGGGGAATTTGAATACAATTCCATCAAGAGAAGGAAAGTAAATTTCATCCATAACATGATGGAATTAAAATCCTTTGGAGGAAGGAATGTGAAATTTAACCATACTACCCTCATCAATCTTTTGGTATTCGGGTCTGGTTTTTTTTTTTAAATTTTGGGATAGGGTCGGATTTTTTTTAAAAAAATTTGGGTTCAGGTCGGGATTTTTTAAGTTTGATACGGGTCGGGTTGGGTTTTTTTTAAGTGTGATATTCGGGTCGGGTTCGGGTTTAGGGTGAAAAATACCCGACCCGAAAAAATATATAATTTTACCTTATATATTTAGGAATAATTACAATAATACCCCTCTATATATATTTTTTTTTTCAATTAAGTCACTATTTTTATTGAATAAAAATATTTTTATTATTATTTTGGGTCGGGTCGGGTTTCTAATTCATATATTCAGGTCGGGTCGGGTCTCAGGTGGAGGTTCCCTTGTTCTCGGGTCGGGTCTCGGGTGGAGGTTCCCTTGTTCTCGGGTCGAGTCGGGTGGACCAACCCAACCCGACCCATTGCCATCCCTAATTTGGATGATTTTAACTTATGATGTTTATTAGTATGATTTTTATAATTTATTGAAATGAATAATCAATCAATAAAATGAAAATTTAATATTTTTAAATTTTTTATAATATATTGCTACATGTAAGTTATAAAACAAACTAAAATTAAGCAAAAAAAAAGTAAGAAGGGCAATTCTGTCATTTTACATTACTGAAATCAAATTCATCTGACATGTTTACGAACCAAACAAAATATGAAATTGGATTCCAATTCAATTTCCTGCCAACCAAACAGGTTTCAGATTCAGATTCCAATTCCTTCAGATTTCAATTCCTTTACAGATTCTAATTCCCTCAGAAACATTCCAACGAACCAAACGCCACCTTACTATTGTAACCGCGGATTCAATTTTGACTAGGTTACCAACTTATTAAATTTTAGGGTAAACTCTTTATTTGGTCATCCATTTATTCTCATATTTATAGTTTAGTTCATTTTTTTTCTAAAATCGTACATAACAATATGTTTCGCTTTTATTTTAGTTATTTACCGTTAGGTTTGACCGTTTAACTTGTTGGAAATAAAAATATGGCATGGTGTAATAACAATTTTAGTCTTTAAACTTATATATTATATCAAAGTGGTCTTAATTTGAAATAATTCAACAAATCCGCAAATTTTAAAAATCTCATCAATTTGGTCCGCATTTTAATTTGAAATAATTATTAAATTATTTAATAATTTGTTAATAAATCATTATTAAGTCATGAACAATAATTTAAACTATTAAGAAAATGTTATCGATCTAGGCTCCAAATTAA